GGCCGGCTCGGTGGGGAGGTGCTTCGGCTGGCTCGGTGGGGAGGTGGTGGGTAGGTGCTTCGGCCGGCTCGGTGTCGAGGTGCGAATGGGGCGAGGGGTGTGTTGTAACTCCTTTCCGCATGTACTGTCAGACTGCTGCAGCTCCCGAAGTTTCAGGGAGCTCTGACGCTGTGTGTGTAGCAGGAAAAACAAATGAGAAAGGGAAAAAAAAAAGAGTCGTCTCTTTCTCGGTGACGATGATAATGTTTTTCGAATCGTTGAAGATTCGTTGCTGTTTACTATTCTGTTTGTGACCGTGTATGATCTTGCTGTTTGTGACCATTGCTGTATACTATTCTGCTTTCCACAAACACTTAGAAAGACAGAAGACGCCAAGAGCTAAAACAGTGATACAGAAAGCACCAGCCATACACTAACAAAAAAAACATAGAGTCAGAGACAGAAAGAGCGAAGTGAGATTCTTCATTGGGGTTGCTCCCTGACGGTGTTCGCGGGCGCTAGCTGCGCTGGCTGCACCTGCTTGTTGTCTTTATTGCTGAGTTGGACACGACAAGGAGGGAGATGGGGATCTGTGGATTGCTTGAGAGAGAGGATACTTACCTGTTGCTGATGTCGATACTGTGCGCTGCTAAACGTCTTCACGGGAGAACTGTGCCACGTGGCACTCTGATGTGATCAGGCCATTTCAGGCTCGTTATTGGACACTGTTTGCTGACATGGAGGCAAGGGGGAAGCCCGGAGAAGGAGAAGGAAATGTTGGGCTACTGTCTCTGTGGTCATTGATGGATACTATCTCTTCCACCCTGTAAATTGTCTATTCCCCCTCTCCTCTCTTTGTCCATTGGTTACGAGACATTGTATCACAGATCGCATTCACGATTATTTGGAGACATTATTCAGCTCTGCGTTTTCTTGTACTTCGACATTTGATGAGCATCTCCCAGACTGGGTTCATTACATTCGCGTCTTTTGGTGTCCGAAGGCCCATTTCGGTTCACCTTTCTGAAATGCAATGGGCATAATCCGCAGGAAGCCAACATATGTCGGAGTCAACTCGATCTGTACATTTCTGGTCACATCCACTCTGGGATCAAAGGGGGTTGTGTGTGGGCTGCACAGACTGTAGAGGAAATCCTTTTCAGGCCAAGGAAGCATTTAGACGGCGTCCCGCTAACTGTTGAAGTAGCCAGTGCTTTCCTAGTGTCAGGTCTCTTTCAAGCTAGGCAAGAATTGCGGACCCTGGCCCAGTGGGGCAAGGTTTTCCCCGATCCGCTACAAATCAAATTGGATGTTAGTAGCCGGTCTGATGTTTGCCTCGTAGTATATGTGCATGACCATCTTTGAGCCTCTGAAGATAGGGAGACTCAGGCCTGTTCACTATACCCTGCTTGAACATGATTATGTCCTGGCTGAATGACATGGTTCTCTAAGTCAGCAAGTAATGGCTTGGACTCGACCAAATTGTTCTGATAATGCACATAACATGAATGCTCATCCGCCTCAGCTTGTACTAAGAAGTGCAGCAGTTCCAACATCTCCAAGTGGCTGCTCCAGAAAGCGATGATTCGACATTGGGCTTGACTTTTTCTATTATGAAATCACTACAGAAGTGCAATGACCTATTGGTTCTACACGCTTGAATCAAAGTCTGTATTTTGTTTCGAGATTGACCTGCAATTGAATAGGCAGATGCAAACTCCCGTCTTCGCCTGAATAGAACGCCCGGTCATTATAGCCGTATGTGGTGCAGTTTTCAGTGAAGATACAGCTATAATGACCGGGCATTCTATTCAGCTGAAGACGGTAGTTCTACCTTCTTTTGACCAAAACCAAGCGAAATTTATGCAAAAATAGTCTGATTCTGTCTGAATCAAATTTTCCCTTAGCATTCTTTTGTGTAAGAAACTGCTATTGAGTCCTGAGTGGTACGTGGCAATAGGCAGGTGCAAACTATTTCTACCAGCCCGGCGTTGTATTCGTCTTACTCCGGAAGGATTTGAGCCTGTGATCCATTTCTTAGCAGTAACAGGTGTCCATCGTGCAGTCACATTGACTGCGTGTGAACGTAGATGGAAAAAAATGCCAGCTTGTTTCTTTCGTTTAGCGGACTCAGCGATGCTGTTTTCTGTACTCATCAACCTTTTTTCCATGGTGAATGGTTGATTCAATGCAGCTTGTCAGGGAATTGCAGAGCGAAGAACATCCAGATGATGCGCCCGTAACATCCAAGAAAGTTTTTCAGTTCTTGCTGCAGGTACCCGTCTATATATTTTTGCTCTCTCCGCCGCCTTGATATTTTTGCTCTCCATTTCTTAGTGTTTAGGACACTTCATGAAGATAATAAATTAGTGGAGTCGATGAAAACCATGGGCTTCCGTATCAGTTTTGTCATTTGTTTGCAATCAGACGAAGGCACTTTTGTAATCCATTTCATGCCAAGAGACAGGAACTGGTCTTTAGGGAATGTGAAAACAGTTGGTTTCACTCAAATTCGAAGTCAACGTTCTCTGGCACGGACACTGGGTAACAGGGGACTGGGGATGATAGATGGAAATTTATGAGAGAACATACGGCATTGGTGCATCTATAGAGGTCGGGCCCAGCTCTGTGCTCACCACTGAGGCCCCAGTGTGCAGTGGGAAGAGAGTGTCTAACTTGTCCACTGTCTACTACTACTGACGGTCAGAGGGCTTGGTGCTCCTTATAGGAGGGAGAAAGTTTGTGCTGTATCTGGGTTCTAAGAGGTGTATACAATTCACCTGCACCCCTCCTTTCAGTTTCCGGAGGTGTATACTATTCACGTGCACCCCTCGTTTCAGTCTCCAGCTAAGTTCACTTCCTTGCTCACCTGCTTTGGCAGCTGCATTGTCTCTCGCAGCACTGAGGGAGAAGATCTCAGCTGCAATGCACACTGCCGTACCCCTCAAGTGAGGAGTGTGGCTAGTGACTACTTTCTCAGTCTTCAGTCGTACGGTAAATGATTTTTTTTTGTAGTATAAAGGTAGTACAACGTGCCTTTTTACTCCCCTTGGCCCCTCGGCATTTTTGTCTATACAAGGATATGTATTGTGTGCAGTGTACACCATGCCTTGTTTTTTCTTTTATATTTTTTCTTTTGAATTGTCTAAACCATGCTTTGTTTCCTATGTTTCCTTCAATTTTTGCAAGCCTGCAGAGGCTTGCTAGAAGCCTTCGTCGGCTCCTCCTTTTATTATTATTATTTTTTTGTGTTTTACACCGGCCCTGCCCCCCCCCCCTCCATTATCCATTGGGCAGGTGTGGTTTGGTTCAATCTTGCCAGTGTTGAGATCAACCTCCTCCTCATCTGCACATATGTTGGTATTGCTGCACTTGTAGGATGGCTTGGTTCCTCTGTCATCTTCCTGATGTTGATAGCTTGCATGACAGTTACTGTGGCACTGCCCTGCCTGGCTCTCCATTTCCTTATGCTGTTGTCTTGTGTTGTTTAATTGCATTTTGAGGTAACTAGGGTGCAGTCACAATTTCAGTTTAGATTTTAAAATCCACTTCAGGCATCGGTAGAATACAACACATCCCCACCTGACCCTAAAGCTATGGTGTATACGCATTCACAATTGTCCTCACTTTGGCAAAACATTCGTGAAATCGTGACTGAAGTGCATTTTCAAACTGAAACCGTGACTGCGCCCTAGTTTTCCCTTGCATTTTTTAGATGATTGTGTTTAAGCCACATTAGGCACAAAACTTATTTAGCATTTGCTGCTCCTTCTCTGTCCCTAACACTCCTGTTGTATGATTTGACTGCTTGTGTTGGTGTCCTGGATGGCAGACGGTTGAATCATTGGCTAGTATACCAGCACCGGAGTTAGCGCTGCGGCTGTACCTGCAGTGTGCTGAGGTATGTGCACGACTATCTTGTGATGTTTGGAGATGATCGCTACAAATACATATTGGACCCATCTTTCTGGTGCTGACTGTTGGAGAAGGCTGGTCTGATGGTGCCGGCAAGTCCAAAAAAAAGGGGCAGGGGAACCTGCAGTGTTCTGAGGTATGTGCACGACTATCTTGTGATGTGTGGAGGTGATCACTGCAAATAAAGCGAGGGATACCATTTGGACCCATCTTTCTGGTGCTGACTGTTGGAGAAAGCTGGTCTGATGGTGCCTCCAAGTCCAAAATAAAGGGGCCGGGGAAGAGACTGTGCCTCTAGTCTGGTTATGCCTGCACAGCCTGCGGGCTCGGAAATTTGGCAGTTGACCATACAAAGTGTGTGCTTGTTCATTTTCTTGTTATGGAATACACATGCGTACTTCGCTTTCTTGTTATGGAACCTGTGTGGAAGTTAAGAATGGAAACCTTAAATCACCAGTCTGTCCGAGCCTATTATTTCCCCATGGCTGTGATGCCCGCCCCGGAAGAAACCAGACTATCGCCGGCGCAACACCGCTGGCCTTTTCCCCCCTGTAGGCCAAGACTGCAATTTCACTGCGCGTCAACTAGCCCATTGGAATGGGAGACCAAGGAAATGGACTGCTGGTTTATGCACCCATTGATAGTATCTGGGGTTGATGTGAGAGTCCTGGGGGTGATCTGCCTCCTTGAGAACCGGGGGAATGGTGCTGAACCCCTTCAGACTCGTTCAGACAGAAAGAGAAAAAGAAAAACACACGAAGAAGACGAAAAGTCGAATCGGCTGGATTGTCAATCCCATCAATGAGCTGAACTGGGGAAGTTGCAAGTGGTAGTAGGGGTTTAAACTTTAAAGCGGGTGCACATCTGAGCCAGCAACCACAGCAGCAGCAGCAGCTTGTTGTGGTGCATATGTTCGCTCTACTGATGTGATTTGTCTCTGGCACCTTTTGGCTGTATTGCAGGCAGCTGGTGATTGCGACCTAGAGCCCATGGCATATGAGTTCTTCACGCAAGCATTCTTGCTCTACGAGGAAGATATTACGGTATGATGACCAAAACACTTCCAGGGGCCCACGAGACATCCCAGCTCATGTGTCGCAGAGTCGTGTTACAGTTAAAAATTGAAACCGCCTGCTGCGACATTTGGCTGCAGGAAGACACAAGCACTGTTCAGGGATTTTTAACGTGGAGGCGTCCACGTCTGCTATGGGGTAATGCATGACCGACTGGCTGTCATTTCCAACTCTTGCAAATGAGATCCTGAGGCTCTGTTCTTTTCAGGGTTTCCATTTTCTGGTATGGTATCCTTGTTTTGACCAAGTTCCATGCCTGTCGGTGCAGGACTCCAAGGCACAGTTGACGGCGATTCACCTAATAATCGGCGCACTGCAGAGGACAAATGTGTTTGGCGTCGAGAACAGAGATACCTTGACACACAAAGCAACAGGGGTCAGTTCCTCTGCCATGCTGGATCGTCATCACTTTTCTTTTCCCATTTTCTTCATCCTTGAAAATTGAAAATAAAAAAATGGGAATATTTGCTATATAGCTAGGCTACCAGCCGGGCCGCCCGGGTCCCGGGTGGCCAGCCAGTGCAAGGACCAGGGGAGGTCCAAGCAAMAAAAAAAAAAAAAAAAAAAAAATCCGAAAAATTTAGAAAAATAAACTGAACAACTTTTGCCTCAGGGTCACATCGAAATTCTGCATAAAATTTATAATACAAAATAAAATATAAAACTAATTTTTTTATTTTTATTTTTTTTATTGTTTTTGGCCCGGCCGGGCAAATGACCCCGGGCCACTCTGGTAGCCTAGCTATATAGTATATACTATATAGTATATAGCGAGGCCATTCATGCAGGGCGTTCTCCTGGGTGGTCTGCACTAGACAGGTCTTGGTCGACCTGACTGGAAATCCAGAGGTCAGCAAAGACAAAGGGGACGTCTTTTTTTTCAGTCTGTGGTCAGTATGGTTGCCTTGTGTATGTCAAATGGAGCGCAGAATCCCGCAGATCCAATATTATTTCCAGAACATGCGTGTGCGCTTTGTAATGGGTTGTTTAATGGGGTTTATGGGGGTTTAAAGGGATTGCAAAAGATGTATTGCCGTGATTCTTTTTAAGTTTCAAATCTGGTAAAGGAATTTTGCAATTTGGTGAGGAATTTTGTTGCAATGATCCTCAGAGCCAGCCCATGCGGCTGAATGATATGCACATGTAACTGTGGGGGGAAGTTCACGAGTTCAAATCAGTCAGACGAATCAAAGTTTCAAGTTTCAACTACTAATAAAAGGATGATCCTCGGCCAAAGGTTGCCCGTAGTCTAGTTCTACACAAGATACTTTTTTGCCATTTTTTTTTGGAGAATCTTGAAAAGTTTTGGAATGTTTATCTTGCGTGCTCTGACAGACACGTGGACCCAGCTGCTGGCTATCTGAGTGGGACGGTTGGATCTTAGCCTAGGCAGGCCAGCACTTCCTGGACTTCTGGCATGCTACCTTGGAAAATTGGGCAATCCTCAATATCATGCTATTTGACAGGGGGTGAAGTTTGAACCATGGCTGCTGAAGAGAGAAACACTAGCAGATTGTGCTTTGGAGGTGGTGAAGATGTCCAGATCACTCAATAGCAAGTTGTATATGAAAAAAATGCTTCTGATCGTTATGCTTCTGATCTATTCTTTTAGGCCGCACACGTTCATTGATCGGCTCCTATGAATTCACTCAATGAGGTAGTTGAATGAATGAATGGATGAATGTGAACTATGCATGGATTAGACCGCTCACCGTAACATGCCGCCCCATGTGTATTTGTTCCTTTGTCCTTTCCACATCAGTGTGTTGATTGCTTCCTCCCACACTCCTTCAGTCATTCCTTCATTTCATCCTTTCTCCCTCCCTCCCTCCCTCCCTCAGTGAGTCATTAACGTGCTCTCGATCTTGGTAGAATTTGATCAATCAAGCAATTAATCCTTCAGACACTGACTCACTTACTCTGCAACTCTCCCTCCTCCCACCCCCATTTTCCTGCTCACCCACACACAGCAACTAATCCATGCTTGCGCGCATTCTGATCCATGCACCCCACATACATCAATCACTCACCATACAAAGTTTCCTCCGTCCCTTAACCGTACTTTCACACACAGGGAAGGTGTTTTGAGGCGCTGTCACTTTCTGTCAGTAATTGTTCGAAGGCTGAAAACGTGGCCTCGAAAAGATGAAGAAAAAGAAAGGTGCTTTTAAACCTTTCTTTTTCTTCATCCTTTTGTGGCCATATGTTCTGAGTGGCTGTCGGGTTTGTTTGTGCCTGGAGACTTCTATGGGAATCTGAATCCTGGCGGACACGTTAGATTTACAGCCGGACATTCTACTGTAAGCCTACCTGTCATTTCTTTCCATCTCCTCTATACTGCTTCCCCTTCCACCCGTGTGTGCACCGTGCGTAAACAGATGAAATAATGTTTGAAGAAATTATCCTCAGCTTTTGAACGATTAGCTGAGTATCTCACCATCTTTGCATGTTTTGCTTTCTTGTGGATGTTGTGTTCTATACGCAGTACTCAGCGAAACTGTTAAAGAAGCAAGACCAGTGTCGGGCCGTTTATGCAAGTTCGCATTTGTTTTGGAGTAATGACGAGGGTGGGGTAAGAGATGGTGAAAGGTAAGGGTGATGATAAGCATGTCCACAAAGCAAACAAGGCATCCTAGCGTTCACCTGTGCAATCTTCTTTTTCTTCTCCATCTTGGTGATTGTCATCGTGATTGTCCTCCTCTTCTTCATCATTGTCATTTTCTTCGTCTTCTGTTCTTTGTTTTGCTTTCGTAGTCTTCATCTTCCCTGGCTTCATCCCCTTTTTCTTCTCTTTGTTTTCTTCTTTGCCTTCACGTTTGTCCACAATGGAAAGAAAGCATCCGAGTCTTCACCCGTACGACCTTCTTCTTCTTCTTCTTCTTCTTCTTCTTCTTCTTCTTCTTCTTCTTCTTCTTCTTCTTCTTCTCTTCCTCCTCCTCCTCCCTCTTCTTCTCCCTCTTCTTCTCCCTTCTTCTTCTTCTTCTTCTTCTTCTTCTTCTTCTTCTTCTTCTTCTTCCTTCTCCTCCTCCTCCTCGGCATCTTCATTGCCATCATAGACTTCTTCGTTGTCTTCTCATGTGCGTTCTTTGTTTTGCAATTGTCCCCATTATTGATAGAGGGACATGCCGAGTGCATGTTTGTCCTCATCTAGAATGGAGCCTGAATGTCCTGAACTCTGTTTGAAACGGAGGTTCACAGTAAACGCGAAAGAGTTCAAAAAGGTGGAAAACCAGGGAAAGCGGCCTAGCTCAGTTGGTAGAGCACGGAAGCGGCATTCAGGAGGTCGTGAGTTCGGTTCCCCACGGCGTCCATTCCAATCCCTGCGGCCTCCTGCGGTGTGCTGCAGGTTCACCAGCTGAGATAGTCGGCTTGCCCCCCTTGGTTGATCTTGGTACGGGGGCTCGTCCCTTCCATCCGTCACCTGGGGTTCGGCCTGACCTAGTGGAGTAAGGATTCCCCTTGGTGCTTAGACATGGGTGGAGGCTGGTGCTGAAACATACAGGTTGCTGAGATATGTAGGTAGGTAGGTAGCATGACGTATAATTGAGAGAACAATCTACTGCATCTACTACATCTACTATACATATATATAGTCAAACAGAGCTGCCCGGTACGCCGTAGGCAGAGAGGGAGAAGAGGACAACAAACGAGGGGCTGTGACAAACTGTTTCGTCGGAGTTTCACCTCTATCGACGGCTTGCCTGGAAACACAACTGAAAAAAAGGCAGCGAATCTTTTTGATCTGCCAGCGATCTGGGAGGCACGTACGTTTGGGCGTTACCGCCCTGCTGTTGAACGCACTGTTTGTTTTCTTTTTTTTCTGTTGTTTTTGCACTGTTTTTTTTTTTTTTTTTGTCCAACACACCGCAGATACCGGCCACCCGTTTTTTGTCGTTGTCAAACGTGCCGCTAGGTCTTCTGCGGGCGGCCCGGAATATGAATTGGGCAGTTCGTCTCACTGCTCTTCTTTGGTCTAGCTTGGGCTGCCCACCACGAGACCTACTCGCCTACGTGTCTACACGACCTACGGACTTGCCGACACGGCCTAGCGCCTCGCTCCACTACTCTCAACATGTGCAAAACGAGAGTGAATCTCCCGCTAGAACATGGAAAGATACACTGCTATGATTTTTGCTTTTGGTGCATGTCGAGAGTAATGGAGCGAGGTCCCTAGGTGACCTACCTACCTTCTACGCAACCCATGTGACCTGCCTACCGTAGCTCTCTCTCTCTCTCTCTCTCTCTCTCTCTCTCTCTCTCTCTCTCTCTCTCTCTCTCTCTCTCTCTCTCTCTCTCTCTCTCTCTCTCTCTCTCTCTCTCTCTCTCTCTCTCTCTCTCTCTCTCTCTCTCTCTCTCGCTCGCTCGCTCTCTCTCTCTCTCTCTCTCTGTGTGGGTGTGGGTGTGTGTGTGTGTGTGTGTGCTGGGTACTTCATTCTTGGTACTTTGTGCTTGGTCTTGTTTGGTTCATGCATCGGTGCCACTTTCAGGCTATTTGGTGCATTTGTGCTGCTTCCTGCTTGGTTCATGCTTGGTTTGGTTTTGGTGCTACGTGCATCCGTGGTTGGTTTGTGGAACCGGTGGTTCGTTCTTAGTGCATCGGTGCTACATCCATCCTGGAATCGGTGCCTGGTTCAGTCTAGCGTAGTCAAGCGTCTTTTTGTGGAGTTGGTGTAAAGCAGTTGCATCTTGGGCAAACTCTTGGGTTTCAACCTTCTGACGAGTCGGTGAAAGTCTGACAAAACAGTCTGGACACTCATGCTTCCTGTTTGGCATGCACAAAGGCACGGGGGGGGGGGGAGAGAGAGAGAGAGAGAGAGAGAGCATCCGACCGTGACAATGTTGGCGGATGAAGACGATGATGAAGATGACTGGGAAGATGAAAGATGACCATGAGCATGATATATGAGGACAAGGTAAGATAATAATGACATCAATCAGAATATATTGAGACTGGGGAAAGGAGGATGAGCACACCAATTGAGGGAAGGGAGTGGGTAAGGAAAAGCAAGCTGCTTCACGTGGGGAGGGTTAGGGGAAAGTCGAGGGGGAGGGGCATCACATGGCGCAGCCACGTGGCTGGATCATTTTTCCGTTGTCATTTCTTTTCGTTTTCTTTTCGGTTTGTGTGTGTGAGAGAGAGAGAGAGGGACACAGAGGGAAAGGGGGGGCAGGGGAGGGAGAGGGAAGGGGGAAATGGGAGAAGCGGGCTATAGTGGTTTCGTTTTTCTCTCCTGATCGGGAAAACGGCGGGGCAGGACAACATCGGGAAGGAATTGAGAGGGAAACAAGCAAACATGATGGTGGGACATGATGACGAGTTTGGGTTCTAGATGACCAGGGCGAAAAAGGTCTCTTGATCCAAATGCATGGGAGGGAGAGGAGGACGTAGGGGAGTAAGGACGAGGGAAAAGGAAGATGGCTGTGGCAGTCATTGGGGACTTGAGATCGGGGCGACGCAGGACAAGTGCAGCCATTGTTTAGAGATGGGAAGGACAGGTGCAACATTTGAGGGAAGGGAGTGGTTAAAGAAATACAAGCTGCTCCACGCGGCTCGATCATCTTTTTCGTTTTTCTCTTTTCTGGCTCGAGCCTCTTTTTCGTTTTCTTTTCTTCTGCTTTTCTTTTTTTTGTGTGTGAGAGCGAGGGGGAGTTGGAGGGGGAAGGGGAGAGGGCTAGGACGAAGGGGCGGGGAAAGGCTAAGGCTCGAGATCTCACAACATGGCTGTGCCATGTGGGGCAATATTAATCGTTCCCTTTTCATTTTTTGGTCTTGTGTGCGTGTGTGTGTGTGTGTKGGGGGAGAGAGAGAGAGAGAGAGAGAGAGAGAGGAGGATTAGGAGAAGGTATGTGGGGAGTGGGTTAAAGGTGCACCACAACCAACCGGCTTACTAGCGCACTTGGTACAACCATGGCCTGTTGAAATGCAGACCGGAGTCCAAATCCAGATGCTATCAGAAGAACATAATAGAATAATTCTGAATTGCATTGGGCAGCCCAGCTCAATGATGATATCTCAATCGTCACTGTTGTGAAAAAAGAAGAAAGAAGACGTGCCACGTGGCTGTGCAACATGGAGCTATCTCTATTCCGTTTTCGTCTCTTTCCAGTTTTCCTAATTTTTTATTTTTTTTATTTTTTATTTTTTGTGTGTGTGTGTGTGCGTGCGTGCCTGTGTGCCTGTGTGTGTGTGTGTGTGTGTCTGTGTGTGTGAGAGAGAGAGAGAGAGAGAGAGAGAGATTGCATTGGGCAATTGCCTACACTATAGTCCTGGGACAATTAATCGGAAGTGTGTGTGTGTGTGTGTGTGTGTGTGTGTGTGTGTGTGTGTGTGTGTGTGTGTGTGTGNTGTGTGTGTGTGTGTGAGAGAGAGAGAGAGAGAGAGAGAGAGAGAGAGAGAGAGAGAGAGAGAGAGAGAGAGATTGCATTGGGCAATTGCCTACACTATAGTCCTGGGACAATTAATCGGAAGTGTGTGGGCGTAGCTGCACTGGCTTCACTTGTAGCTTAGTTAAAAAAAAAGGGCAAAAAAAAGGGGACAAGAGTATAAGGTGGATTTGAGGCTGAAAACCTAGGCCGTTTTCCCGGGCGCCCAGCACCGAAGTTGTGCCGGGAAACACGCTCGGGTGACCGGCCGGGCATGACCCCTGGGCAGGGTCCCCGGCTGCACCAGCCCCCCCCCCCAAAAAAAAAAAATCAGGAAGTTTTTTTTTTTTTAAATATGTTGTGTCGAATTGCAATACAAACAACTTTTGGCTGAGGGTCGCATCAGAATTCATCACGGAACTGAAGATGAAACAGAAGATAACCGAATCAAACCAAGGCACCCCCCTTCAGACCCCTCTAGCCCCTTCAAAAATAATTTATACCCCCCTTGCCCCCCCTTTAAAGCCAACACTCAAAGAAAGCAAAGTCCGGATTTGGGCTCCTCTCCAAGAGCACGGAAAACCCCCACCGCCAATTTTGTTTTTTTAACATTTTTCCTATTTTTTTTACCCATGCCCAGGTATCCCGGACGTCAGACCCCCCCGGGCATCATGCCCGGGTGGCCGGCCGGTCCATACCAGCCTGTCATGAAAATCTTCCCAGCTGAAAACGAGAAAAGAGAAAAATGAAGATGGGAATTTAGAGTCCAACTGTTAACATGCTTTTTTTCTAACTCTTTTGAAGTTTTTCTATCTAGAAGAGTAGCCCGTCTCTATCTTGGATGTATACTTGTCCTGGCAATGGTTTTGAAATTTGAATTCAAATTAATACTCGATTGTCGTGTGATTTGATTGCCAGGGTGCTGTTGTGCCTGAAACGCGCACTCAGGATTGCTAATGCTGCACAGCAAATGACATCTGCTATGCGAGGCCATAGTGGCCCAGTCACTCTTTTTGTGGAGATCCTGAACAAGTAAGAACAAGCATCCTCTTTGGTGCTGTGTGAATTTTTCACTCACTTTCACTGAGTCCTTGGTGCTGTCTGAATAGATGTGGGCCCTACAATGAGGGGATTTGGGGATGTACACTCCACCTGCGAAGGTGCAGGCTCAGGCTAGAACTCTGTGGGGCACATCCAACCGCGATGACAGTCAGGTTGATTTAGAATGCTGTTGCCTGTTGAAGCCTTGAAGGCATGCTGTCGAAGCCGTTTGCCCGTAGTGGGATGTTCGGGGGCACACTTTGATAACTATAGGGCACCTTATGGTTGCCATCAACTCGACTTCCGCAAGCTTTACCATTTTTTTTTCAGATAAATTATCATTTTTTTTCAGATAAATTAGGCTGGTTGAAGATGCAAATAAGAAAGAAAGCATGAGTTTGTGACTGTGCCCATAGTTGAGGGCACATTGCTGCAATCATGGCGAATTGGGCGAAGCTCTGTTGCACACCTTAATTGTTATGGTTGACCTTTCAGCCTGTGCTGATGTTGAGATTCATAAGCTTTCAGGGGCTTTTAGGGGTGAAGTTTGTTCGCACACTTCGATAGCTACAGGTGACCCGACAGCCGCCCTCAAGTCCACATTCCGAAGCTTATAATTGTTCCAAATGATTTATGCTGGATGAAGAGGCAAATAAAGAAAGAGTGCGAGTGTGAGTGTGAGCATGGTGGAGCGGAGGCCGCACAGCAATCATGGCACATGGGGTGTGGTTTAGACACAGAGCTACGTAGGATCCCAGTGTTTGCTGGGAGGAGGGCCCCTATTTCAAATGACAGTAAAAGAAAGGATGCAAGTGTGTAAGATGAAAAAGAGTGCTGTGGGATGGGGGAGAAGGGGGATATGGATTGAACAAAATGCAGGAGTAAAACAAAAGGGAAGGCGGGGGGAGAGGGGGCAGGGGGGCAGTGGACAAAAAATGGAAAGAGGAGAAAGGATGCTCGCTGGGGTAAATGGATTGCAAAAATACAGGGGGGAAATGGGGCGGGGGGTGCGGGTGCTTACAAGAGAAGGGATGTACGATGAAAAAAAAAGAGTAGGGGGGGGGGAGGGGGCAGGGGGCCAGTGGACAAAAAACGGAAAGAGGAGAAGGATGCTAGTTGGGGGAAATGGATTGCAAAACTACAGGTGGAAAATGGGGCGGGGGGTGGGGGTGCGGACAAGAGAAGGGATGTGCGATGAAAAAAGAGAATGCAGAATGGGGAAGAAGGGGGATGGATTTTTAAAAAATATAGGTCGGAGAGGGAGGAGGGGGTGGGGGGGAAACAAGAAAAAAAAGTTTCAAAAACAGACAAAAGAAAGTAAACAAGAGTATGATGAGACTGCTTCTGAATCTTTTCAGAGAGTCTCCCCCTTCTGTTACTTGTTTGTGAGCTGCCAATGGAAATGGACCGCTGACATCATCAAACTCACATCCTCCATGAAGTGAGGAGAAGGAGCCCTGCCTTTCTGTTCGTTCACTGATCTGTTGCTTTCTTTGACGTTTCTTTGACGAAAAAAATTGACCAGGTACTTGTATTATTTCGACAAGGGAAGTCCTTCGGTCACCACAAAGGTTCTTCAGGATCTCTTGGAGTTGATCACAATAGAAATGAAGAGCGAGATGACGGCTCAAGATCCGGCAACAGATGCGTTCTATGCGAGCACAGAACGGCATATTAACTTCCAAAAGCAGAAGGGCGGCACAATTGGTGGTGCGTATGCCGCGCTGCAATTGCCATCCACGCAGACGACTTAGCGCGACGGCAATGAATGGCCTTGATTTGGTGCGGTTTTGCTTGGCTTCGCTTTCCTTCACCTGGCTATTGCTCAAATCGATACGGTATGCACATTAACCGCCAAAGGCTCAGCTCGTCTTGTCGGCCAGGAAGGTAGTGCGAAAACAGAAAGCTCACTCGCCCAGGCTCAAGTCTGTGTTCGTCTTTGTTGAGGTTCTTGAACCGTTCTCCTGCCCAGCAGCTGGGAGAGTAGGGCCATGAATGTGGGATTCAAAAGTCGGAACGGTTATGGCAATGGTGGATCAGGTGGGCTGCTCGCTACGAAGAAGAGCAGCAGAGCAGAGTGGCACACTCTCTGGTTGGAAGATTGTGGTGGTTGACAATGAAGACAGGAGCACGACGTGTTGAGGTGAAGAACAGTGGCTGCAGGTCGCCGGAATGACGGCATAATTGGTGAAAGTCGAGGGCAAGGAGGAGCACAATGGACAGTTTTGTGGTTGTGGGTGGAAAAGCCCACACAGCGTGGAGTTGGAGCAAGCGAGGGAATAAAGGGTAGAGAATCTAGAGGTGAGTGGATGGGTTGTTTATTATCGTGCTGCTGTTTCAGGTAACGTGCACAAGTTCCATTGTCACAAACCACTGGTGAGAAGCCATTGAGCCAGCAAAGTATCTATGAGAGAGAGAGAGAGGTATGTGTCTAAGCCAGGGAATTATATGTGTGTGTGTGTGTGTGTGTGTGTGTGTGTGTGTGTGTGTGTGCGTGTGTGTGCGTGTGTGTGTGTGTGACAATGATTGTTATTAGCAATTTAGCAGTTATGAGTGGGGTGATATATTGTAAAGTGTTGTCGGAGTTGCTTGTCTACGAAATTTGTGCTCCCAATGGAGAATGCAGATACCGATGGAAGAGGAGGAGGAGGGAGGAGAAACATGCGCATGGGCATATATAGAGTCGAGTGAAGAGGGGGTTTGCTTGGGAATCAATGACTTTTAGATAACTGCGTGAGCTTGCGAAGTGCGTCTGGTGATCCTTTTCGGTCTCTAGCTGAAGGCATATCACTGGTTGAGATGCACGAAGTGATGTTTCATTCATTGCGTTTGCAGCTAGCAGTCTGTTTGTTGTGGTCTGTATTAGTGGTTAGCGAACCAGTTGACATAAGAGAGAGCTTAGAGAAGTCTCCCCGTAGCAGAAAGCAGTATGTCATACAGCTGCTCCTCTCAGGTTTGGACAAACTGGAAGTCGGCAGCGAGCAGGACCAGTCTGGACTGGCGGTCGGCAGCTGGTTCGGTCGCAATGGCATCGGTGCTCACGTAAGCGCTTCGGCCTTTTGCATGCAGGTGGGCGTCTTGTTAGCTTCCTCCTGTGTAAAGATCAGCAGCAGTCTGATCGCGTGGAAGGGGAGTGAAGTGCTTTGCACCTGATGCAGTTGTGACCCTTCGTGGATATGTGGGGGCGGGTCTTTTGTTTTGTCCCTTGGTAGTGTTAGAAGGGGGGCGGGGGGGGGGGGGGGGGGGGGGGGGGGGGGGGGGGGGGTGGGGGGGGGGGGGGGGGGTGGGGGGGGGGGGGGGGGGGGGGGGGGGGGGGGGGGGGGGGGGGGGGGGGGGGGGGGGGGGGGGGGCGCCGGGGGGTTGAATTCTGACCCGTCTCTGTCTTTTTCTCCTGTGTGTTGTCAGATAAGGAAATGGGAGCTTCTCCTTGGGAAATAATCAACTGGAGAGGAAAATTCTTTTTTAACGGTTTGATGTAGCAGCAGCTTGTTGCGATGTCCTCTACACTTTCTCTCCTCGGCCTCCTCCTCTCCCCTACGCGAGGAAGAGGCCCACCGTCTCCACTTCCTCTCCTTCTCCTCCCTCTTCCCCCTACCTAGGTAAGTGCCTGCCTCTTTTATTCTTCCATTCACTCTCTCCTATCCATCCTCCCCTTACTAGTGCACAGTTCTTCCCATGTTTGTCTGCATGCGCATTGCATTGATCAATGAAGAAGTTGTATAGCACAAATGCAAATTTTGAAGTGATCAGGCACAGGGGCGAAAGTGGACCTTGCTTTCGCTCTTGCGCCCCCCTTTACTGCTCTTCTGCCTCCTTGCCAACGACATCTCTCTTCTATTGTCACACCTGCTTGTGCTTCAACCTCCGTCATTTATGAGGGAAGACGATTCTGAGGTCGACAACCAAAAAGCAATTTCTACTCCATTCTGAGGTCGACAACCAAAAAGCATTTATGGGGAAGCGGCATGAGCATCATTCAAAAGAAATGTACAATGTCAGGGCCCTAAGTCCAGAGATTGCACCTTTTTTTTGCGGGGGGGGCTTTGGGGGGGGGGCGGGGAGGGGAGGGGGAAAGAGGGGCTGAAGCAGCCCACCTTTATGGCTGAAACTCTACTCCACCCAAGCCTATGCTGTCAAGTCTGATTCTGGCCGCAAGCCTCAATGGCGGCGCCATAGCTGGCCCCGTCTACGAGGGCCAGCACTCTTTAGTGGGCTAGTATGCCGAAGCCAAGTGTTTACAGATGCATTCTTCAGCAAGGCTATCGCTGAAGTCTTTTGGCGTGAACTCGGAGAATGTCTGTTCTACGAAGGAACACGAACCATTCTCTTTGTCAGCATGATTATTCACTGCAAGTATCGACTTTTTGCTTTTTGGGACATTAATAATCACACACTTTGCGAGTATTAAGTAATTTTGGTATTATTTACTGGACTGTGAAGTTTGTGGTCATGATGTGCAAGATGATACTTAACCACCACTATATATAGGAAGAGGGCCTCCGTTTTCCGAGAGTGGCGACCGAAGTCGGTACTCTGGTCATGATGTGTACCAGATGATACTAAACCGACAAAATTATCCCCCTTCCCAAAATCATCAGGCGAGGGGCAGATCCAGAGGAAGGAGTGGTGGGTTTCACACATCCTCTCCTGCATTCAAATCTGTCTTTTGCCCCTGTCCTTGCCAAGTCTTTTTGCAGTCTCTCTGTCAAACAGCATCCCCCTCCCTGCATCTCCCAATAATTCACCCTATGTGTCCCCTCTCTCGATATCAACCATTCTGTTCTCTGACCATCAACTATGATTCCATCGCTCATTTTTTTCTCCGGTCTCTGTTCTGTCTCTAAATTGTGTGGGACATTTTTCTGAGCCGGTGCCCCCTGCTTTCGTCTGTCGACGCGTGCACTCTTAGGGCATGCTATCTTCCTCAGAAGTCTACCTTGTGCAGGCGTTGCCTGGATGCAAGCGTATGTTATCTATAGTGATGTATAGCCATTTCTCGGACGTATATTTTTACATGCAACACACATATGTCCACACTAAGGGGGAGGAAAAACTAGGGCGCTGTCACAGTCTCATTTTAAAAATGCGTTTCAGTCACGAGTTCGCAGATGTTGTGTCAAACCGAGGAAAATTGTGAATGTATCCCTCAAATACAACACATCCCCGCCCTAGTTACCCCCGAAAAAAAGAAATTGTGAAAAGTGTCGGGTGGGGATGTGTTGTATTTGAGGGATGCCTGAACTGGATTTGAAACTGAAATCGTGACTGTGCACTCGTCACCCCGTTCCAAAAAAAGAAAGGGCGTCAGCACGTGACTACTAGACACTGCTTCTGGCAGCTGGGTTAGGCTGAGGCTCCAATCTATATTCTTGGGATCCAGTCTGTAATAAATAAAATAAAATAAAATAAATTTAATAAATGAAATAATGAAAATGAGAAAATAAATATCCTCTTTTTGGAGAAAACGAAGGATGATTCAGTATCCCATTTTTTTTTCATAAAAGCCCAGGTTGTTGTAGAGGCTGGATTACAGACATATGAGAGTCACCTTTGGCACTTGGCCATGTGGTAGAGCCCCCCTAATCCTATAGGACTCCCTCCCAACCTACCTACCTGTAATTCTTCTTTATGTAACTTGCTGTAATTTTCTTAATGCATGCAATTTACTGTTATGTCCTTCCACAATGTATCTGCTCAATGTTTTTGGCAAAGTGCAGTCCATATGATGTTAGAGTAGTCGATAATATTAGGGTCGGTATAGGACATTCGAGTAGGTTACGTTAGGATCCATAGACAGAGCGTAAGTAAGACATGCATGAGTTTTAAGTTATGCTATCCACCTTGCAGGTCAGGATATAATTTACATAATTTCACTTGGAGATAGTGCGGTAGGTCATATGCCTGAGTTTTAAGTAATGCTACCCACCTTGCAAATCCTATAGTAGACTGAAAACTCCCTTACATGCAAACTATGCGAAGACTCGCCCAGGATGCAGCTGCCTGCTCGTTATGTTTTCGAGCAATGACATGCATCAACAACCTGTTGCGCTTTCCAGCCCGCAATGGTAACAGATGAATAAGGGAGGCATTGATTCTTGTCACCGACTTGCCTTTTCTCTTTGTCTGGTGCGTGCATCGAACTGTCCCTTTTTTTTCTTTCAATTGTGTCATTCTTAACTGTGTACAACTTTAACTGTGTTAAACTTTCTTGTACTTTCTTGTTTTTAACCATCCCCACGCTGGGGCCATGCTAATCCTCTGTCAGTCCTATGAATCGTTCCAATTCTAACGGATGTCCCAAAGGACAGTGTGTTTGTGTGTGTGGCGACGTGTGTGTGTGTGTGTGTGTGTGTGTGTGTGTGTGTGTGTGTGTGTGTGTGTGTGAGAGAGAGAGAGAGAGAGAGAGAGAGTCAAAACTTTCTGTTTTTCCAATTAACTTACGTTTTGTTTAATTTTTTGATTCGTAACTGCGTTTTTTGATGCGGCTTAGAATGAAGAACAACATAGATTCGCATGGTAAGTACTATAGCTCCAATCATGGCCACTAATAAAATAAGACTTGACTTGGATGGATCAATCCCAAGGGAAGTCCTGTGTTGATTTGATAAATATTAGCAAGAGGATCCCTTAGAGACTATGATTTATGGGAAATGCAATGTGATGCAGTAACACAGTTCGGGCGATCTTTATCTCATGTCAACGTATTAGAATGCTTTGTAATGTCTTTGCTTATCATCCATGTCCATGCATGTTTCATGTGAGTACATATGCCTGGCTTACGATGTGATGCGCATGTCATACATGCTTATTGCATTTTTGCCACGTGGATGGCGACATCTTCTGCCGTGAACTGAACTGCATGCACACATTTGGAGGGACATAGAAGCACACTGCACAACTTCCAGAGGGACATAAAAGCACGCTGCACAACCCATCAAGATCTGCTGTTTGTATCTCAAGATCATGTCCCAATGTGCGGCATGCGTCAATTCCTAGTGCTTGCCTTTGCCAAGGGTGATTGCTGAAGTCGTTATGCTGTTGACCTACCCCTCCTTCATTGAAGTACCCATGAAGGAAACCCTTGTGTGGATTTTCAGCTCCTTTCCTTGGAGAGTATAATTCAGAATATGCCAGGTTACTAGTCGTCCGTACGGAGGACATCCTGGGTGGGACTTGTCTGGGATTCTGGACAACTCATTTTCTCCCGACTTAAAAGCGGGGGTTGGACGCTCCATGCAGAGACCCCATAAGACAAAATTCAGCTCATTTCGAGCAAAAAAGCATGAAAAATTGAAAACATCGGGAAAGAGGGTAGGGTGTGGCGGGGGGGGGGGGGGGGGGGGGGGGGGGGGGTGCGTGGAGGGTGCGTTGGTGGTGCAGATGCAGCAGGTGCACCTGCAGCACATGTAGAACCTCCTGCCACACGTGTAGGATCTGCAACATCTGCTGCAGCAGGTGCTACAGATGCAGCAGCTGGCAGCAGCTGCCACCGCACATGCAGCAGCAGCAAACACGGCGGCTGCTGCAGCAGGTGCTGCATCTGCGGTGTCAAATACATGCTCTCTGAGTCGATGTTTATATTTTTTGTTTCCATTTTCCCTGTTTCTTTTATTTTGGGTTAAAGAACCTTTTTTCCCCCTCTTATGGGTTCTTTGTAATGTGAGCTATACCGTCGTAAAATTTCATGGAATTTGAAGTCGTTAAAAAAAAAAATCACTAAAGATTGCGTTGTCAGAAAATCATCAGCGCTGCAGCCGCTGCAGCGTTTTTTTTTTTTTTTTTTTTTTGAGTGTCCTGCAGCCTTTGCAGCAGATGCAGCGCCTCAGCTGACTTAGAAACCACAAGAAGAAATTTTCAAAAAGAAAGTTTAAAACACGAGAAATAATTTGGTCAAGTTCAGAAGGCTCAGGGTGGACCGTTCGGCCCTGTTGTCCGGTCGGATCTGATGTCCGCCCTGGTAACCTAGATAATAGTCTATTGGGCAGTTCCCACTGAAAAGTTGAAAACTCGAATCCTTCATTTGTTTAGCGGATCGACGTTTTGCGCTGTAGGTTCCATACTGATGAATGTGGTGCACAGGTTCTGCTCTCTCTCTCTCTCTCTCTCTCTCTCTCTCTCTCTCTCTCTCTCTCTCTCTCTCTCTCTCTCT